GACCCCCCCACCTCACCCCCCCCTCCCCATACTCAGCAGCACTGTACTGTATCAGCAGTAAAGTCCTACAAGTTCCTGGGCTCCACTATCTCCGAGAACCTGAAGTGGACATCCAACATCAGTACCATCATCAAGAAGGCACAGCTGAGGATGTACTTCCTGTGCCAGCTCAGGAAGTTCAACCTGCTGATACAGATCTACAAAGGAATCATTGAGTCTGTTCTCTGCACCTCCATCACTGTCTGGTTTGGCTCAGCAACCAAACAGGACAAGTACAGACTTCAGCGGACAGTTAGGACTGTAGAAAAGGTCATTGGTGTGAGCCTGCCCTCCATGGAGGACCTGTACACCTCATGGGCCAAAAGGAGGGCGGAGAGGATCACTGCAGACCCCTCACACCCTGGACACAATCTGTTCGAACTCTTCCCCTCTGGATGGCATTACAAGTCACTGTGCACTAAGACAACCAGGCACAGGGACAGTTTCTTCCTCCAGGCTGTCACTCTGATGAACACTTAACCCACGATAGTATGACTGGACAATAGCCCTCAGCAAAATACCTGTAAATGTACACTGTACAGACTATTCAGATTCATACAGGTCTCTCTTTTTAAGTACTCTATCAGAAATCACAATGAGCATTCCTTGTCTGTCTGCATTGTTTACTGCCTGTTTATACTGCTTATTTTGCATTGCTTGCACTGTTTGTTGCTTGTTAATACTCCTTATATTATTATTATATTACACTGCCTTATGCTGGTTTACTGTTTACTTGCCCTTTGCATGGGGATATGTACATACACATTGAGAGCTGATGTACCAGAGTCAAATTCCTCGTGTGTCCTTAGCATATTAGCTAAATGTACCTGTGGGCATTTTACCTATCAGAATAGCATTGTGAAGCTGTCTCAGTTGGTTTAGGAGCTGAGGTTTAGCCTGGTAGATTGGAAGCTGTTTCCTCTGGATGTCTATCGGAGTTGTTGCATTTCCCTTTCTAGGCAGCAGCATTCCAGGTTTATTATAATCGGAACGGAAAAATACTGACCCCGGCTTGAATTTTTTAGCCGGAGGGGGGTCGGGATCGTGAGGCATGGTCTAGAAAAAAATGACTTTGATAGCAAACCGTCTGTGGCTTTTATTGAGATTTGTTTTAGGCCGCAAAGAAACAAAAAAAGGTTTCTTCCATGCTCACTAACACAACCAAACGTCACTGCGGATGTTTTGCTACCGCTACAAATACGCTCCCATGTGGTAAAGCTCGGCGCAGATGTTTGACGTCATTTTTTTATGTAAAATTTAGCCCGAGTCAGGACTGTCAGGCACATATCAACCACGTTTGAACAATGGATAAATTAGAGGATAAAGATCTACGATAAAAGCTCATTATTTAGCCATAGTGTATAATGTTTTCATTGATTACAATATTACTAAATGCACTTGTGAAACATTACTTATATGTATTACCAACCACAGATATAACTGGAATTACCGCTTTGCCAACCAGGTAGTGATGTGTCGTTCACGAACGATTCGTTCATTTTGAACGAATCTTTCCCATGGCTCGAGAACATCGGGTCGTCTCGGGGAGTGATTCGTTCATTTTGTGTTGTCCGCGCATGCGCAACATCACATAAGATTAGTACACCTTTCGAGTCGTTCGTTACATTACATTCTGACTTGTGTCGTTTGGCTTTCCTGTTCTATTGGGATAATGTTAGTTAATTTTGAACTAGCTCAGTCTTTGTACTGTTCAATATTTGTATTAGAGTTTGTAATTGCTTGTCTGTTTGGTTTGACTTAATAAAAGAAATTAAAAAAAATTACATTCTGATAAAGTGAACGAAATGACTCGAACAAAGATTCGTTCATTTTGCTGAACGAGATTCAAAGAACTGCATTAGTAAAATGATCCGAACTTCCCATCACTACAACCAGTCAAATTGAGGGGTATGGGGTACAAGTGCATGCGCGTTGCAGCCATGGGTGATGTAACATCCCCCACATTTTTTGCAAGATGTTATGAAACTAAATAGCCAATATATACAAAGTGACGTCAGCGAAAGATTATGAACAACCCCACAGGCCAACACATAGGTCAAGTTAGTTTGTGTGATAGATCTTACAGGCAATCACAGCAAATCCACCAGTTAGTGGGTGAAGAGGGAAGTTTGGATCATTTTACTTTTCAGCAAAATGAATGAATCCTTTTTCAAGTCATTTTGTTCACTTCAGCAGAATGTAACTAGAGAAATACATTTCCTGTCGAAAATGCATGTGGATGCTGTGATGCTGAAGGATCGCCCTGAAAAATGCCTGAAATCAATTGCTGAAACAGCTGAAGGATGAGTAGAAATTGCTGAATTTCTTTGTTAAAATAGTTGAGAAGAAATGGCTGAAGTTCTTTGTTGAATGATCTGAAGGATGAGATGCAATAAATACAAGCAGCAATGTCATTGAAGAGCTGAACATTTTGATACCTGAAATACCTGA